GCTGCCATTCTCTCCTGAGACACAGAGCCGCCGCCACCTCCATCCGTCCCCCGCAGGCAGGGCGGAGACGAGCGAGCGGTCGGAGTCTGAGCGATGGTGCCCGGCGAGGAGAACCAACTGGTCCCGAAGGAGGTGAGGGGCCGGCGGGCCAGTAGGCCCGAAGCCTGCGGACCTCTCGGAGTCGCGCAGGCCCAGGGCGGGAGGCTGGCAGGGAAGAGCAGGCGTGCGGCCCGGTGAACGGTGGGCGCGGCGGGCAGTTGAAGACCACGGGCTTCCCGGGCCACGTAGCTGGGGGAGACCCCAGACTGCGAAAACCGGAGGAGTCGAGTCCTGCTCCGGGCGGGGGTTGGGGAGAGAAAGTGGCCTTTGGAGTCCAGACTTCACACGTCGACCGAGAGTTAGGGATCAATTCAAAGAAAACATTCTGGAACAGTTGCCCATGGGCAGGACGGGGTGACCGTGCTGCTTCTGGGGTTTGACAGTGTATAGCTTACAGGGCTTTTGAAATCTACACCCAAGTTGAGATCTGTGGGAAGGAAGACTTAACTGTTAGAGAGTTTTGTTTTGTTTTTTTCAACTCCTGTTACTTCGTAGTACACTATTGGCCTGCCTAAATGGGCCTACCCAGGATCGTTGAAAAAGTATTGAAGGGAGGAGATAGCCGAGTTAATGTTACCATATGGAGAGACGAAATGTTGTTTTATTTGATTTTTTGATCGTTTTCTGGTGTTGCCAGTTTGGGTGACTTAAATTCTTAAAAGCGAGTGACATGAGACTCCCGGACTTCTTGGCTTCTCTTAAACAGTAAGTAGTAGAAGATTAAAGGTGGAATCATGCACTGGCCAGTGGATTTCGACATATTAATAGTCAGTTGGCTTTATAAATATCCCCAGCATTTTCAAACATGTATTTTTAACTGCTGATCGTCAGGCTTAATGCTTTGGATTTTTATGTCTCATATACCTTAAATAGATGCCAAGTGTTAAGTTGAAATTAGCAAGGTAGGATCTTGATATTTGTGTGTGATGGTTTCAGATTCCTAAATTTGTAGAGCTTTTTTGTATTGTAGCAATTCATTGCTACACAGACAACCCCTGGCACAATGCAAAAGTGACTTTATGTTTTGTACCTACCTAGTTAAATTTCCTGCTTTCATCAGATGGACAGTAAGTTGATTTGTAGGGTTTTGTTTTGTTCTTTGAGGTAGGATCTTACTATGAGCCTTGGCTGGGTTGGAACTCACCTTATATATAGGCAAGGCTGTCCTGAAACTCAGATTTGCCTGCCTCTGCCTCCTTAGTGCTAGGATTAAAGGTGTGTGCTACCAAGATCCGTGTTTTGTTGTTGTTTAAGGCTGAGTTATGTGTCAGTATTTATCTATCAAGTATCACTAACTCTGTATTGAAAGTAAATGTGAATTAGAGATCTTGCCTCAGAAACAGTTTCAATTACTAAGGGGTGGGAGGTGGGGGAACATGAGCCCTCCTTGAGTTTATTCAGGGGCTTTGTACTAAATAACAAGGAAGGAAGTAATGGGTTTTAAGAGAAAGGTAACCTTTGTTTCGTTTAGTGCTGGTTTCCATTATAAGAGACAAAATTAATCCTTGATTTCCAACTGTTAGAAAATAGAACATAGGTGAAACCCTGCATAAGATTATTTGGTTTGTATAACTTTTTGTTTTGTTTTGTTTTGTTTGTTTTTTCGAGACAGGGTTTTTCTGTGTAGCTTTGGAGCCTATCCTGGCACTCCTCTGGAGACCAGGCTGGCCTCGAACTCACAGAGATTCGCCTGCCTCTGCCTCCCGAGTGCTGGGATTAAAGGCATGTGCCACCAAAGCCTGGTTTGTATAACTCTTGATAGAGATACACACATATCCTACTTTGTCTTAAAAAACTGATATTGCAATGCTTGTTTTACCTCTTGGAAGTTTGAAATCTCCCTAATCTGATAAGCCTAACTTGTTTTCCTTCTGGATTTTATGCTTTATTTCCTGTTCCTTAGTTTTCAGTATTTTATCCATGATTCCTGCTTCCTGGGATCATGCACAGTTCTGCTCTTGAGATGCAAACTTTTGCTAGCCAGATAGTGTATTCTTATTTGAATGCTATACTCATTCTTCATCCGAGAGGTTGTTTCAACTTCTGTATTTGCTTCTGAATTACCATGACTGTGTTCCAAAAGGAAGCCAGTGGTCTCTTAATCCAAATACATGGGCTTTCTCCCTTTCTCTTCCTTGAATTTTTTGTATTATTAGATACTTTAAACAAAACAAACACCCTGTTTGCCCACCTTGCTCCTATTCATGCTTTTAACAATCAGTTTTATTGTCTTTGTTATTCAAATAGTAGTAGAATCATACAATGCTATAAATCTGAGGGAAAATCATGGTGATCGGCTCGAAATTTAAACTTCGATTTCCACAGGGGTGGAGAAGTACAGCTATCAGGTTGAAAGTGACTTATTCAAATAAGGACTCAATGGCAGGTAGAAGACTAGAGCTTGGGTCTTCTATCATTTCTTGCTTGTCCTCTTAAGTTTACTCCATGTTACCTTGGGGCAATAAGAGTTGTTTATCATTTTTCAGGTACTTGTATTTAGTGAGAAGAAATTGCAGAACTAAAAGCCTTCCTGCATCTATTCCAGTGGGCTATATTAACAATCCTAAAAGAATTTGTTTTGCTTCAGAGAAGTTCTGACCCTTATGAATGTGGCTTTTGAGTCCATGTGTGAATTCATACAGTTGTTAAGTGAGTTAAGATTATTTTGGTCTCTGAAACTCTGGGACAAATGTCCCTTAGAGAACTACTGGAGACGGCATCTTAGTGTACAGTGATTGACAAACTGTATCCTAGCTCCCATCCTGTTTTTGTTTGAGTTATTAGTGATTTTTAAATTGTTGAATTAAAAAAAATCAAAAGAATAGTTTTCTGTGATACATGAACATGGTTGGCATGGGGATTTCATTATGAGGACACAGCTTTCAGTAGTGGCAGCAGTGTTGAGTGGTTGCTGTATATGTAGGCTGTGTGCAGCTTGATATTCAAGGCTCAGTACACTTGCTTCTGGCCACAACCTGCCTTTTCCGAGCTTATCTCTCTTCCCATGGAACAAGTTTTTAATGTAGACAAACAGGTTTCTCTTCAGCTTGCTTTTTATTTCTATTTGTGCTGTCTCTCTTTCTTACTGACTTCACCTATTCAAAACCTCTGTACACAATCCATAAACTTCCTTTATTCTGAAAAGTCTTGAGCATTTTAATCTTAGGAATTTCTCCTTAGTAGGCTTCTGCACATGAGTAGAGATCACTTAGCAGTTCATAAAGAGTGCTTTGGAACATCTATTGTTGTCCCCACATTTTATGTTGTTCAGTGGAATTCCTTGACAGCAGAGGCAGCATATTTCTCCCTTTTTTTAATTTTTTTTATTTATTTTATTTTATTTGTGTGTGTGTGTGTGTGTGTGTGTGTGTGTTAATTTTTTTTATTTATTTTATTTTATTTTTGTGTGTGTGTGTGTGTGTGTGTTACAAGTCTAGGGGAGTGTCTTTGCTGGAGTATAGATTAGTAAATATTCATTTGTATGGTTATAAGGATGTAAGGAGGCTTCAAATTCTAACTGGCTATCCTCCACTTGGAGGTTTTCCACAGTGTAATTGGCAAACTGTTTGCACATCCATGACTTATCTCCATAACATCTTTTTCTTAAAAGAGCTCTGTTATTTTAAGTTTTTGCATTGAGAGGAATCTGTATCTCCAGTGTCATCTTTTGCTAGTGGCCACTGGTCAACATTTCCATAGGAAGGTTTTTCTCATGGCTGAAATGAAGGAGGGGCAGAAGAACTCACCCCTTCTATCTGGAGTCTACATTCCTCAGCTCTTCCACTGCTTCTTGCTTGTTCATTTGAACATGATCCAGCATTTTAGTACCCTGAAAAGAGCAAAAGGAGAGGGTGGTGTTCATTGAGGAGAACTTCCCTGTTTTACTCTGCCATGTGTCTTAATTGTGGACTATTGATTTTGGTGTTGAGATTGCTTGCTTTTAGTATCTCTAGTTTTAATTATTGCCTGATGGTTGTTTCATTCCTTAAAAGGGGTTGGGACATAGCATGTATGAGTACTCTGCCATGTGGGAGAAAGTTAGAATAGACACCTCTAGTATCATACAGTATTAACAGTAAGGTACATATTTATTAATGTTTTGATGGATTTTGTGTTTTGAGACAGGGTCTCTAAATAGTCGTGACTGGCCTTTAGCTTACTACATAGACCAGGCTGGCCTTGAACTCATAGAACTCCTCCTGCCTCTGCCTCTGCCTCTGAGTGCTTGGATTAAAGGTGCCTATCAATACACCCTGCAGTAAAGTTTTAAAAATGATACTTTTAGCACATGGAACATATAAATATAGGGAAGAAGTGAAAAAATATGAGTAAATGTAAGTTGCATGCTTCAGTGATTTTTGTTGTTGTTGTTGTTTTCCGTGCTGTCACTATTCCTTACATTTAGTAATAACCAACGTTTATTGAGATACCAAATACTGTCATATATGCTTTGTGTATATTAATTCATTTAAGGGCAGCAGCTTCACAACTTATAGGAGAGATCTTCAATGACTGTTTCTCTGTTGTCTTATTTCTTGTAGAATAAATCTTTTCATCTCTATCTATTAAAGGCCATATCAAATGAATAGTCTTTTAATTTTATCTCTCTTGGTTAAACTACTTGGAATTGTTGCAGTGCCACATTCATTATTTTGTTGATTTTTTTTTTTTTTTTTAAATGGGGTTTGTCC